CTCCAGCATTGTTCACTTGAGAGAACCCAGGTTCCTCTTGATTAGCCTCTTTGGGTCTGGAAGCTCAGAGTCTGCGTTCTTTACTGTGTTCACTAAGTCTTTTTTAAGTATGGTAAAATTTGAGTGCTGCTGTGCTGAGTTATGGAGATGTCTGGGACAGAGGCACTCTGCTTTGTCACGTCCAGGCCCAATACTCTCACAGGGTGGTGGTCTCATTGGGGAGGGTAAAGGATCTGCCCCATTCATTTCGAGGCTCTGACATTCATGGCAGTCCCCATCACTGTAGCCCCACTCCTCTCTCATCCCTGTCTTGAGCTACTGGGACCTTTCTTGCCCCGATGACCTGCTTCCCTTTCTCTCTGTATTTGATTGCCTTTTTTTTTGGACTCGGGGCCAACTTCTCTCTTCTTAGCATTGCTAGTTTGCCTTCAAGGTTCTGAGCAGCTGTCTGGGAATCTAGATCCTCCTCCGAGGGCCAAAGCTGGGGCAGGGTCCTCGGAAAGGAAGGGGTAGGTGCAAACGGACCCCAGAGCTGCTGATCTCCACTACTCTGAGTGATCTGTCCAGCTTCTTTCTAGTCAGCATATCTGAGACTAGATCAGCTGTGAAATTTCCAAAGCTGCTGGATAGATGGGTTGGTGAGGGGAGAGGGTGTCTCCAAGAAGTCCCTGACTGTTTGAGTCTCAAATTTCAGATTGCATCATAGCAGCAGTGCCCTTGGCACCTCCCGCTCCCCTCCCCCACTCGGAGTCCTGCCCAGCAACTTTCCATTGCAGGAAACATCTGCTGGGGAGGCCAGGGGTTACTGCAGGACATTGGCCAGGACCATCACCCAGATCCTGTAACTTGAAGCATGTGCAGGGCTCTAGCCCTGCCCACCCACCCGCCTGGCCTCCCTCCCTCCTGCCACGGTGACTTTTAACAAAGGGGTTGTTTGCTGGCCAGCTGAAAGGAGTGGGGTCTGGTGGAGAAAGGGGTGTGTGCAGGGGTGTGGACAAGAGCAGGCCCTTTGCACAGCTAAGTGGTGACCGCTCTGCCTGGGTGAGGGCTGTGAGTCATAGCGGCCCATGACTACCCAGAGTAGAGATTGCGCATTGATTAAACCCATGGGACAGATCAGGACTGCAGAGCTGGGACTCCGAAGTGCCTCTTTGGAGCTTCCCCTAACTATGAGTCACTCCGTTGCTTGTGAGTAGCCAGTAGCTCTAGACCTCTGGACCCAGCGTGGCGCCTTCTCTTCCTGTGAAGTTTGCCTGTGCACTTAGGGACTGCCCTGCAGAAGCCTCTGATGGTGCTGTGTGCCTGCTGTGTCTGTGTCTTTGGATCTCAGCTGGACTCTCAGGGTGAGCGTCTGCACTGACTGGGAGGAGGTGCTTGGCCACACCCCCCTGGCTGCCTTCAGCCTGAAGACCAGCCAAGAAAGACAAAGCCGACCCCAGCTGTGGGAGACGGGCTGGCTAGTATCGCCCGAGAACTGTGCTCATGACACACACTGATTTGTGAAGCTTCTCACTGAGAACCCAGCTCTGGGAGAAGGAAGGCTGTCAGCCAGGGTCGCACAGACCCTCCATCCTGAAGCCAGAGGTCACCTTTCTCCTGCTGGTCCAGACGGGGCCAATTGTTTTCATCCCGCGGGGACCATCAGGAATCAGAGAGCAAGGAGCTGTAGTCCATTGGGAAAGGCAGCTGTGGGGGGCAATGGAATCTTTGATGGAATCTGGGGTCCTCTGGAGCCTCCTGCTGGAGCAGGAAAGCCAGTCACTGCGGTGGTACTTGAAGAGGGTTACTGATGTACCTGCGGGTGCTGGACACTGTTGCTGGCATGGATCTGAGGAAATCCCAGCTGTGAGTGTGTGACCCAGTTTCTCTGTGTCTTTGCCATGCTATGCATCTTTGCATGCTCCACTTGGCTCTGCTACCCGAGGGACCCACATTTGACAACCCTTGAACCAGAAGTCTTTGGCCATTTTACATAGGTGAGCCATGCCTCTCCTGTGGCATTTGATTTAAGAGAGCACAGAGTGGGGGACCAGGGTCCCGGCATCCAGCGGGGCGCAGGGCTCTAGGCTGAGCATGCCCACCTGCTGTGTTTCTTTGCTTTGTGCTCCAGGAAGGAGAGGCTGGTCTGCCATCCAGCATAGTAGAACAAAGGTGTTTGTGTGTAAACCTGGAGTTAGGGACCTTTAGGAGTTCTGCCCTGCTCTCTCCCGGTGGCTACAGCTTTGTTTCAAAGCAGAGGAGAGGAGCAGCACCCTCAGTCTGCTCACTGTTGGGAGATTGTGGCCAGACTTCTTGCATCTTAGTAGATATTGACCGAATATGGGAGAAGCAAGGGGGAGAGAGCAATGTGGAAGAAAAATTAGCAATAGGAGGATGTAGCTGGGCATGGTGACATGTGCCTGTAATCCCAGCACTCTGGGAAGCTGAAGAGAGAGGATCACAAGTTGGAGCCCAGTTTGGACAACTTGGAAATATTACCTCAAATAAAAAAAGGGCTGGGGACATAGCTCAGTGCAAAGGCCCTGGGTTGAATCCCCAAATCTCTCTCTCTCTGTCTCTCTCTCTCTCCCTCTCTCTCTGTCTCTCTCTCTCTCCCCCTCTCTCTGTCTCTCTCTCTCTCTCTCTGTCTCTCTCACACACACACACACACACACACACACACACGTAATAAGAGAAGGTGCAGGCTTCAGGTAACTGGATGCCTGATATCTAGTTTCACCTGGGGTGTGGGGCCACCTGGTAGGCTGCTCCTTATGCTGACACAGGAATTTTATAAAGAGCCACTGAGGAGCGTGGACAACAAGCAGGGGCCCAGAGCAGGTAAACGCTGTCTTCTGAGAGACTGTGCCCTGTTGTGGGGAAGCCTGTTGTTTCCTTCCTGGCACATAGACAGGGCTCATGTTCTGTGCCCACTGGTAATCATGCTCTCAGGCACGTCGCTGACCTCTTGGTCCTTGGTTTCCCATAGTGTGTAGCGGGTGGGATGGAAAGATCCATGTGACAGGCTTGTGCCTGGGCTTGGCGACCAGGCAGTCAAGCAAGGGTTTCCTCAGAGTGGACTCTGTTCTAAGAGGCCAGGAGGCATGTGGACTGGATAGCTTGACACTATCCAGTTTGAAACTAATATAAGGACCAGAGGACTGTTGGCTGGGTGGCCTTCCGAATATTGACCTCCAGGGATCCCGATGCCTGGTTCAGGTACATGGCAGGTGATTGTGGAAGTCTAGGATTCTATGGCAGCATAGCATTTTTTTGAGGCAGATAACAGGGCATCTACTGTTGCAAGTGGAGCTTATTTTGTAAATAAGAAGAGCAAAAGCTTGAAATTCAAATGCACAAAGAGACTGCAAGCAAGTTCCTTATCTCCCTTCCTCTACCTTCTTCTTTCTGTCTTCTCCTTGGCAAACATTCCCAAACCAAAGCCGTGCCATTTTCTCTGCCCCTAACTTCCTCTTCTCTTTAGTAGTTCAGGTGGGCAGTGCATGGTGCAGATGAGATCAGACCCCAGCTTCAGCTTCTTCATGAGCCATTTAGCTTTACTGAAAGCCAAAATATGAACAGTTGAAGGGCCATTCCCTCACTATCAGAGCTGCATGCCAGTGGATTCCCAGGGAAGTGGGTGAGAAAGTGTAAAAGGCCAGGACCCATGTGTCACAAGCAGGATGGCAATCTTTCCTCAGACACACGCTCCTGGCTGCGAGTCAGCAGTCTTGTTTCTGCATAAGTAGGTCAGTGCATCGCTGGGCGGAGTGTAGATGTCTCTCTGTCCCTATGTGTAGGTCTCCCTGGGTTGTGCTTGTTATGTGTCTGCCTTGGGTGTCCTTCGTCTATGGGAACTTGTCTCTTTTTGTGTTTATTCTTTCAGTTTTAAGAGTGTACCCAGCACTCTGGGAGGCTGAGGAAGGGGGATTGAAAGTTTGATCCTAACCTAGACACTTAATGAGATTCTTTTTCAATCAAAAATAAAAGAAGGGCTGGGGATGTAGCTTAGTGTGAAGGCCCTGGGTTCAATCCCTAGTAATGTGCTCACACACACACACACACACACACCTGAAAGGGTGGTATTTCTGACCATATTGCTGGCTAGTGGGATTTCCAAGGATTTGCTAGTGTAATCTATGGGTCTGAGTCTGTGCCACAGCCCCAGGACAGCAGCAGACAGGGCATCTATGGCTCAGGTGGTGGTGGAAGATGAGCCCAGGCCCAGGGAGGGAGAGATGCAAGCATGCTGCAGGATTAGATCCTCTGCACTGTTTTTCCCTCCCAGGCCCCTTTTCCTCCCTTGTCCTGCTAGGGCTTTTGGGAAAACAGAACTCCTCATCGTGGAGATCTTCCAGTGCTCAACAGTGGGGCTTCCCTTTGTCTAATGAGTTTAAGTGAGGGCTGGCAGATCATTCCGTAAGGATGAAGATGCAAGCTGAGTACCTCTTGTGCCAGATGTTCTTTAAAATTTTCTACCCCATGTACTTTTCCTAGGACTGGTTTTACAATTTCTAAAGAATTGTATTCATTTATTTTTTCAACTCAAGTCTTTTGCACATAGTCAGGGGTTTACTGTGTCCTGCATGAGAACTTGTGAGTGGTGCGCTGGGCCTTACGCTCTCATGGGTCCTGCTGGGGACTAGGTTTGTCCCATGGTGCTCCCGCTTCCCTGTCAGGAAAGCAGAGACAGAGCAGCAGTAGCAGGTACTGTGACTCCCAGGAAGTCTCCTGCAGCTGTCAATCCTTTCTGTCTTTTTGGAACCTTTATGGACCTGGCTTCATATTTCAATGTTTTCTCATTGGTGGATGCTGGACACAGAGAGTTTTGTAAGATTGGATTCTCTGTACCATTCTTCTACCCCATCCTCCCTTTCCTAACCTGGCCTCCTAGGGTCTGTAGGGGGCAGTGAGCCTCATCTTTGCCTTTTTAACACACAAGCACATGCTTCTCTTGTGACAGCCTTCCCAATGCCGCACAACCTGGGTATGTTTTGCTAACCTCGATCTTCATCCCGCAGGTGTTAAGCCCCACTTACAAGCAGAGAAATGAAGACTTCAGAAAGCTTTTTAAGCAACTTCCAGACACGGAGCGCCTCATTGTTGGTGAGCAAGTTGATCTGCGAATTGGGTAGGCAGGGCATCCGAGAGTCCAGAGAGTGTACTCAGGCTGAGAGCCAAACCGGGTGCATGCATTTTTCTGGAACAGGGAAGGAGGATGTCCAGAGCACCGGCGCCAGCTCTGAGGGCTCAGGGCCCAGCACCACGCATACGGCAGCCTCCGGAGCCTACCCTGGGGGAGTTACCTGTTTCGCACATGGACAGAGAGTAGAAGGGCTTTTGGATCATAGGTTGAGGGAATAAAGTTGGTTGAATTTTATTGGCCTTTTTACCCCTAACTTTTTTGGCCCCTTCTGCTGTCACATTGATTCGTCTACCTCTGGGCAGTAGCACCTTTTACCACTTCTCCACTCAGATCATGAGATGCCAGGCACTTTAGTGTTCACTGGTTCAGATATCTCACACACCTGGTGGCAGGTGGCTGGGCTTCCCCACTACTAGTGAGCGGGATGCCCTCTGTGTAATGATTTGTTAAAATGCTTCCTCTCTCTGAGCTTCCCTGTCTTTTCACCACAGATTACTCATGTGCACTCCAAAGAGACATTCTTCTTCAGGGCCGACTCTACCTCTCAGAAAATTGGATCTGCTTCTACAGCAACATCTTCCGCTGGGAAACTCTGGTAAAGAACTAGGACTCAGGTTGGGGCTGTACTTCAGGGGTAGAGTGTTTGCCAAGCATATGCGGGGTTGCCCTGGGCTCCATCTGCAGCGCCCTGTCCCCACCCCGAAAGCCCAGGGACTGGCTCCGTCGGGCTACCATCTTGGTCATGACTGAGCAGAATCCCCTCACTTTGTAGCTCTTGCTGACTTTGTGTTCTCCCAAAGCCTTTGCATAATGAGCAGAAACAGATGCCTAGGCTGAAGGGTGCCCAGTTCTAACTCCCATAATAAGATCTTGTCTGCCGTGTACTTCCATCACAGCTCTTGGGTGTGGAAGAGAACACAAAGGGCATTTGGTTTTGGAAAATACAAATAATTAGTGGGCATGAGTTACCACGAGGGGTGTGGGGTGGGGGACATAATGAAGCAGAAAGGACACTGGCTTTGGAACTCAGAACTAGCTTGCACACTTTCTGACTTTTGCAGTTAACCAGATGTGTGATTTTAAGTCAGTTCATTCTTTGGCAGTTTCCTCGCCTTATAAAATAAGGTAGAGGAAGATCAACTGTGTGATTCTTTATAGTCCTGTCCAGCACTAGTTGTTTCTGTAAGTGGTGAAAAACTTCAGGGTGTGTGCACATTTAACAGTCTGTAGAAATGAGAAAAAGCCTCCCAGACCAAGAATTGAGATCCCCAGGAGCACAGACACACTCAATCCCTATCTCGCTGTGTGGCCTGCATGACATAAAAGGGTAAAAATATGCTCTGTAAGGAGGTCTCTTCCAAGGTTAGAAATAGGGGAACTGTGGCCTGTTTGCACTGGTGCCACATGAGCATGTTTGCCTGACCCCACTAATGCCTCCTCTTGCCTGTTGTTATCCACTGTCTGTCCCTGTGGCGGTGCCAGCTGACAGTCCGTTTGAAAGACATCTGCTCCATGACTAAAGAAAAAACAGCTCGCCTCATTCCCAATGCCATCCAAGTTTGCACTGATTCAGAAAAGGTAAGTGGAGTGGAATTCTGGCGGCTCGCCCCACTCACACTCCAGACTCCGTGTTCTACTTTGCTTGCTCCTGTGTTCCTGTCCTTGAATTTCCTTAATCTGGAAGCTAACGGGGTTGGGGTGAGGGGTAGTAAAGATAATGTGATTCAAAGAACCACTACCTGTGTGGGCGGAGTGGTTGGTGGCTGAGCAGGGGCGAGGATGGCTTGGCAGAACGCTGGAATTGGAGCCAGAACACCTTGTAGGTACCTTCATGAACCTCTCTGAGCTTCCGTTTTCTCATGCGTAAAATGACCCCACAATGTCTGTTTGAACAGAGTCTTGAGGTACTATCCTACATTTGCAAATACTAAATGGTAAAGCATTGTACAAAGGTAAGTAGTCATCATTACTTCACAGTGTAGCTGATCATGTCTCAAGAGGGTGAGGAGTCTGAGTGGACATGGATTGTCCTCAGTGGTAAGGGGAGAATGCAGTATATAGGACTTATGACAGGGAAATCCATGATGTTTGACCTTTGACGGTTAGTCAGAGTCTGAAGACTAGTAGATTCAAGGCAAGGGCTGGGTGGGCTAGGTTTCTGCTGAAGATAATTTCTATAATTTTTATGGATTCAAGCAGTTCATGGGCAAGAGTCTTGAGACTTTGGGGTGAGACAGTCGTTTGTTTGAATTCTTGCTTCTGGCACCATCAGCTTTGTGGTCATGCAGATTGTCTTACCTTGCTAGTTTGCTATTCACTGTTAGCAACTTTGCTTTATTATCTAAGGTTTTTTTTTGTTTTTGGTTTTTTTTTTTTAACTTTAAATGAAATAGCATTTGTCAAGCGCCTAGTAGGTCTGCAGTAAAATCTTGTTTCTCACCCCCACTAATCAGTCAGTTCCACCAAAACAGTCTTTTTCTGTTTACACCTTGTACTCTTAACATGTAGACTAGCGCCTAACATGTACATTCTAATGTTCACCTACTAGTTGAATTAATTAAAATGGCCCTTGGGTTTGTCTTATCTTTCTGAGTAAGCTCATTCCCAGCTTCCTCACCCAGTTCCATTATGTGGGTAAAAGACAAAAATTTTTATGGAGACAAAAATTATAAATCAGAGAGAAAAGCGCTGCCCAAAGTGTGGGTAAAAAATTGAAAGAGTTGGTTACAGAAAGAATTCAGAGGTCCGAAGTACCTTGAACCCTTATGTCCTGCACCCCATCATTAAAGTGCCTTTGTGAGGACCACAGATACTTGACAGTCATCAGTAATGTACTTGAGGGTGACATCAGTGTCTTGAATTTAAAGAAGGAAAAAAAGAGGAGCATATTTCCATTCATCATGTTGTGAGTCTTGACAGATACGTCTGGCCATTTTCTTTCCCACTCTAGCACTTTTTCACGTCGTTTGGGGCCCGGGATAGGACGTACATGATGATGTTCCGGCTCTGGCAGAACGCTCTCCTTGAAAAGGTAAGTGCTATGCAGCTGTGCCCTTCAGCCTCAGATGTGCCTCCTCCGTGGTGCTCTTTCCACTTGGCTGTTGTCCCTGCCGGAAGACTGCATTTACAGGAGCTTTGGCTGGCTCCAAAGGGGCCCACACCTCCGCATGGTGTGGAAATGCCTCAGCTGGGTGAGGAACACATCTTCCCACTGGAAAGAGCGACCTGAGTCCACGCTGCCAGGAGTGAGACACTTGTGACTTCAGCTACTTCAGCTCCAGTGTTTTAAAATATATAGGGTTTTATTTTAACCAATTGTGGTGAAACATGCAGGCTCAGAAATGAAGGGCACAAAAGAAGGAGTTTTCAGACTCAGACAAGAGCAGCACTCTATGCCTGTCCACACAGGGAAGCTCCAGCTGAGGTCAGGAGGTAGAGGAAGTGAGCAGAGGGCATGGGCAAGGCAGAGGAAGCAGGCCATGAGGGTTTAGGATTGGCTAGCTTTGAACCACTCCAGCAGGCTTCAGGGTCTGGGGGCTGTTTCTAGTTATCAGTACCTGGCCTTGAGGTCAGGAGGGCAGGGGAGTTTGGTCAAATTACATAGAAAGGAAACTGGTAAGTGTAGCCTTTGGCTGGACTGTTTGCATATGAGTGAGTTGTTTTCTGTCTCTAGGAATTTCCTAAACCTGGGAGGTTCCACCCGCTTAAGCAAGTCCCCAGGCACCACAGCATCAAAAATACAGACAACAAGAAAATGTAGCTAAGATAGGCATGCATTGCTTACTGGAGCACTGGGATTGCACTGGGAAGATACACAGGGGACATGCGCCTTCGGAGAGCTCGCCCTCTGATGGGGAACTCCCCAAGCCAGAAAAGCAGACATGAAGGGAAAAGTTACTAATATGATTCCCTCATGAAGTTAGCATGTAAACATGATTGGCATGTATGTGTTCGAATATATGTGCATAGCTGCCTTGACTCTAGCTCAAACTAATTACTATCTGAAGAAAACTGAGTGATTTTTTTTCTATTTGGAGTTTCTGTGGTCAGAGAGTCTATTGCCCTGGTATAAATCCGATAGTGTCTTTAAGCTAAGCTGTCCCTTTAAAACAACAAAAATGATACATGACCTCAAAACAAAATGATAGGAATTAACAATGGTTGCTACATTACATACTGTCTTCAAGACAGTATGTAAGATGCCTCTCATGTGTTCAACAAAGTTGCTTATTCCTCCAGATGTAGGAATGTAAGACTGTTAATTTCTATCATTTTTTTTTGAGGTCATATATCATTTTCCTTGTTTTTGTGTTGTTTTGATTTTGTCTTCATTGTTGTTTTGTTAGTTTTTTTTTAATCTTTAAAGTAAAAAAAAATTACAAGCCTTTATTAATAATAAAATGATGATGTGCTTACGTCTCCACTGGCAGGTTTTAAGTTTTAGTATGCAACTGCTGTCATTTCTAAATAAGGTACAGAGTCATCCATATGGCTCCTAAATGCCTCACAAAATAGCAGTAAAGAATTCTATCTGATAATGCAGGCTGGCTAATTATGCTGTCCTCACTATGGTCAGGCCAGCGAAGCCAGGCAGAATTGGTCAGGGAAGATGTCACAGAGAAGACAGTTAGTGCAGCAGGCTAAGATGTAGTTTGGCAGGAAACAAATGTGCCCCAGGCAAGATGAAAGGCGTCTCTGGTTGCCAGAGATAGGGAGAAAGAGGTTCAAATAAAGGAGAAGGGGTTGGCTCCCTTGGGTGACAGACAGCTGCCACCAAAACCCTGCTGGTTCAGAGACAGGGTTCCCAACTGCCATTCTACCTCCATGGTTCTCTTGGTTGAAAAACAATGCTGGCCCATGGTGTCCAGCCAGCTGCCTGCTTCTTAAACTGTACCTTGACATTGAGGGCTTGAGGAGCTCTCAGATTCTTTATGAAGTTTATTGATACAAACCCTCTTTAAGTTTGATTTTCTGAAAAAGTTATTGATTGTTTTGTTTTCTCTTAATTCTCTTGCCCACTTTTTCATGTATTTGTTCTTCTCACCTTCCCTTCCTGCAAGTCTGAGACTCATTCATGGTTTCCACCTCTGATTTTAGTTCTCCTGACTTTCCTTTGCCTCTCTTGGGAAACTGACTTAGGGTGGTGCTTTTAATGTAGATGCCCAGTGGCATAAAAAAACACTAGAACTAATGCATGGAACTGTAGACCAACTAACTGCACTTCAGAAAAGAGAAAGCCATATTTTGTAGTCAAGAGAGGGGTGGATGAGATGACCTTTATGGCACTTTAGTCTATGAGAGTGTAGGACTCTTTCTAACCACACAAAGTCTCCAGCTATGGAATGGGCCATTGTTCTGATGTCAAACCTGAGGGTTCTTTATGGATGCAAGTAATATAAGAGACTTCTGTAGTCAGTGGAAGACCAGGTCATGAGCCTCTGAGTGCTTAGTGTCCCACATAGAAGCTGTGAGATCATCTTGACCCCAAAGTAACATGGGTGTGTTATGTTGGACTTCATCAATGGGTACACAAGGTGAACAAGTTACCATCCCTAAGAGTCCAGCTGATCCCATTCTGCAAATCTCCCTTGAAAGAATAGAAAAAGAGGGACCATGTTCCTGGATGTGCTGTAATCCATAGTCCTAGGCAGATGGGCTTGTCCTAGAAGTAGGTGCTCCCCTCTTGTTGAGCTAGGGGTGAGAACGTCTACTCCCAGGGGAGTGGGCCTGGTTCAGTGCCTCTGTGCAGAAAAAGAGGACCTGATAAAGGAAAGTCAGAGCCATGCTCTTCTCCCTTTACAGCCACTGTGCCCCAAGGAGCTCTGGCACTTCGTCCACCAGTGTTACGGGAATGAACTGGGCCTGACCAGTGACGATGAGGACTACGTGCCCCCAGATGACGACTTCAACACAATGGGGTGAGTGAGGCTGAGGGAACTCCAGGCTAGGGTGCCATTGAAGGCCTCAAGAGAGTGTGGTATCTAAGCAGGCTTTGCCCCTGTAGAGGTGAGCATGGGGCACCTATGGGAAGACTTCTTCAACAGAGGAGCAGCAAGAGACCTGTGTGGCTTCAGAACAAAGAAGGGGGACATGGTTGGAATTGAGGCTAGGGAAGCTGAAGGGGCATGGGCTTTTGGCCAACATGAGGATTGGCTTTTGCTCAGAGTGGGATAGAAGGTTTGGAGTAGATCACAGATAAAGGCTCACCTGATATTTTAATAGGATTACTCTGCCCTACAGGAAATACACTGAGGGGGAACAAGGGCCGTAGAGAGACTGTTAAGAGGCTGTTGAATAATTTAGATAACTTAGGTGAGAGATGGTGGTAGTTTGGACCAGGAGGATAGCAGCAGAAATATCAGTGTTTCCTACATATATTTTCCTGAATATATTTTGAAGGATATGCTGATAGATCTGGAAGGAATTAAAGGTGGTGTTTTAGATTTACCATCTGGAGGATAGAGTTGTTCCAAACTGAGGTGGACAACACGATAGGCAGAACAGTTTTGGGCAGAAGATTAGAAGGTTGATTTTAAGCAAATGGAGACTGAGCAGGCTGTTGGCCAAGTGGGCATTTGGCAATGAGTGTGGAGTTCATAGGGAAGTCTGGGCTAGGGCCAAAAACTTGGGAGCTACTAGGGTTTTTTTTTTGGTTTTGTTTTATGTTTTTTATTTTTGGTAGTGGGAATCAAACTCAGGACCTTGTGCTTGCCAGGAAGGTGCTGTGCCACTGAGCTACATCCCCAGCCTGGGAGCTGCTAGTTGATAGCTATAAGATTGGTAGAAACCTCCAAGTGACTCAGGGAACATGAAAGGAAGTTCAAGGACTGGGGTTAGAGGGACACAACAAGAGGAAGAAGCAGAAAAGAGACCTGGAAAGACCATTCTCTGGGGTAGGAGGAGCAGGGAGTCAGGGGGAAGGTGGAGAGTAAGGAAGATGGGGACGGCACTCTGACTCACAGACGGGGTACTTGAGAGTGAAAGGTGGGCAGAGGCGGCGTGTTTGTGAGAGAGGGTGGAGGAAGAGAAGGCAAGGAGAGAGCCCTGAGTGTGTACTTAGCCCCTGGCTTGGTGACAGGCACTGAGGTTTAACAATGGCAATAGTGGCATTACATAACTTCTGTGAGTACCTGCACGATCGTCTCTAAAATGCACCTAATGATTTACTTAGAGTTGTACATCAGATGATGTGCAAAGTACAAGTCAGATGTTGATATCAGTGGTGACTACAAAGGTGATGGTTGCTCCCCTGGGGAAGACTGCAGTAATACCCCCAAGTGTCCATACAAGAGCAGTGACTTTCCCTGTGAGGAGATTTTCCTCTTAGGTATACAATATAGAAGAGTTTATTAGGATCCAGAATAAACTGGGCACAACCACCTAAGGAGTACCTAAGTCCAGGGTCCTGTCTTGGTCAGTGTTTGGAAACTGAAATCTATGCTCAGAACCCAGATATTTAATTCAAATGACCAGGATGGGATGGGTCTCCTGGGAGAAAATAGGATAAGATGAACCATGGACAAATTTTTATATAGGGATAAATCTAAAGAGGATACCTAGAAAAGGTGAGTTTAGAATCAGATATTTGCTGGGTGTGGTGGTTCACGCTTGTAATCCCAGCACTCAGAAGGCTGAGGCAGGAGGATTGTTATGAGTTCAAGACCAGCCTGGGCTACAAAGTGAGCTTAAGGCCAGCCTGAACTGCATAGCAAGACCCTATCTCAAAAAAGACAAAAAAAAAAAAAAAAAAGAATCAGATATTTAAGTGGGTGGAAAAAGGGGTGGAAGTGAAGTATCAGGAAAGCAGTAAGGGGCCAGATTTCTGGTTAGAGGAAGATTGTGTACAAAATAAAGAAGCACACAAAAAATAAAGAGAGAGAGAAAAAAAGAAAGAGAAAAAGAAAGAAAGAGAAAGAAAGAAAGAAAGAAAAAAGAGAAAGAATCAGGAAAGCCCATAGTTTTGGATGAATGGATGGGTCTGAGGTTCTTTGACTAGTTGACAGCTGAGACTAACCTGTGCTTCTGATATCTTCTCCAGCTACTGTGAGGAGATCCCTGTAGAAGAAAATGAAGTGAACGACAGCTCATCTAAAAGCAGCATAGAGACCAAGCCAGATGCCAGCCCACAGCTGCCCAAGAAATCCATCACCAACAGCACCCTGACCTCCACAGGAAGCAGTGAAGCCCCTGTCTCGGTATGGACAGTAAGCCCTGGGTGCTGCCCTGACCCGCCCTAGTGAACTCCGCAGGAGCCCAGCCTGGGGAGCAGTGCGAGGGGTGTGGGTTCTTTGTGGTCAGTTTATTTAACGCAGCATCCTGGAGTTTATGGCTGTCTATACTCCCTTGGTGTGGTCATTGGGTCCAGAGCTGGACTCCCAGTGCTCAGGTTCTATGATTGGTTTAACTGCCAGGAAGATTATGTCGAAGCCACTGCATGAGTTTGGATCTTGGAGGGCTGCTCCAGTTGAGCCTGTCTGGTGAAGAACTATTCTAGGTCTTTTCTTCTTTCTCCTCACTGCCTTGATCTGATGTCAGAGTGTCTCAGTTATTTTCCTTGTTGCTGGGAAATAACACCCAACACCTGCAAATTAAAGGAGGAGAAGATTATTTTGGCTCACAGTTTGTGGAGGTTGTATTCTGTAGCCTGGTGACTCCAAGGTGAGACAGCATGGCAGAGACAGGGCCATAGCAGAGGAGTAGCATCTTGGTGTCCAGGGAGCAGAGGTATGAAGGGAGGAGCCTGGAAAGAGATGCATACACCCTTCCGGGCCATGTCCTCAGTGACCCGCCTCTCCGGTCCAGGCCCCAGCTCCCAACAGCAAGTCATAAACCTCCATATGCCCATCACCTTCCAAAAGTCCTCCTATGAGTGCCTGAGGGACACCTAGACATAAGCCATAATACGAAGTTATGCATGTGTAGAGAACTACAGAGCAGTTCATTTTTTTACTTACTGAGGTCCTTTGTGGTTTATTTCCCCACTGTGCTAGACTTTATGGAGGCGATGAAAATGTCTACGAGGAGCTCTGTCCTCGAGGACTTTATTATACAGAAGATAGAACCTTGATGAAGAAAGAGAGGTTATGGCTAGTAGGTAGAGGGGGTGGGATTTCACAGAAAAGGATTCTTAGAAATGGGAGTGTTGTGCCCAGGGACTAACGAGTCAGGCCACCTGACCTTAGAATGAGGGCATCATTCAATCAATGGCTAGTTCTTATTTTCTGTCTCTGAGGTTGTCTTTAAAATGTAAAGGACTGTATTGGTTCTCTTCCAGCACTGAAGGGGGAACGAATTCAGAAAAAACCTATGACACCTTCTGAGTTTCATAGAAAAAGTTCTATCTAGAGGCAGGCTGATTTTTTTTGTTTGTTTGTTTTTCGGTTTTTGGAGGACAGGGTCTCACCATGGAGTTCAGGCTGGCCTCAAACTTGCAGTGATCCTTCTGCCTCAGCCTCCCAACTGGAATTACACATGTGCACCACCATGCCCAGCTGAGGCAGGCTGATATTGCATATCATGGTGGAGGTGTGGCCCAGGCAGGACCTGGACCTGGCAGTGCCACCTCTATCCACCTCTGGTCTCCATGTGCCAATTGAATGGATAGCACAAAGGGTGGCAGCACCTTGTGCTGTGTTCACTCGTCTCCTGGGACCAGAGCAGCCAGAGCCCAGCACCTGACTCCAGGCCGGCTCCTGAACAGTTGTGCTAAGAGTGAGCACTTCCAAGGCCCACACCCTGGTTTCCCTTTGGTGAGTAGATCCAACCAGGTGGCCCCTGGTGGATGACTCCTGTGTCCCCTGCAGTTTGACGGCCTGCCTCTGGAAGAAGAGGTGTTGGAGGGTGAGGGATCCTTGGAGAAGGAGCTTGCCATTGACAACATCATAGGTGAGAAGATTGAGATCATCCCGCCTGTGAACTCCCCTTCCTTGGACTTTAATGACAATGAGGACATTCCTACTGAGCTCAGTGACTCTTCAGACACCCATGATGAAGGTGAGCATTTGAACAAGGGTCCAGAGCATCCTTCCCTCTCTCATTTTGAAGGCTTAAAAGACGTCTTTGCGTGAGACTGGAGTCAGTACATAGGTTTCCAGTGGAGGGGTGGGTATCAGCTTGTGTAAAAAGGTACATTTGTTATTTGTATACATCCCTTTTTCAAGTGTACACTGCAAGACCCTCATCATTCTATATTTGTCTTTCCTTGATGAATCAATAATGCTTTGTCCTGCCATCTGCACTTGCCATAAAATGTATCTTCCTGTCGACACTGGCTTGCCTGATGGCCCTGTCCCTCTCAGACACACAAAGCAAGGCAGTGTTTAATGCCACAAGAAAAGGCGTCTGTCAGCTGCTCTTTGGAGACAGATTTTAGTAGAGACTCCCTTAAAATGATTGCAAAATTTGTTGGTGACTCGAGCCCAGAGTAGAGAGAAAGGTGTTGCTGCATGAGATGGACTTTGGAGACTCCCTTTCTCTCTACTAAAGTAGAGACTCCATTCTTCGCTCCTGCACAGTGTGACCTTCCAGGGCTCACTCAGGAGCCTGCTGCTTCTTATATTTCATGGAGAGAAACCAAAGCCTCAGTGTTCGTGGAATTAGTTGCTGGTTTTCCTCCATTGAATTGGTGGTAGGTTATTAATAATGAGTAGGTACAGACGCAATCATTTATTGAAGTGCAGACGCTCTCTCTTAGAGATCACCTGTATTGGATTTTTAACCCTTGGTGGTCTTGCCCACCCCATCTAGGATCCAGAATCAGTGCAAATGACTGTGCAGTTTATGTACCGTTTAACGTCAGGATCACTATTCACATAAACTAAGACATGAACATCCTCCACTGTGTGCATACAGGGCCCAATGTGTGCAGTCACAGGCACTGTCTCTGTACAGTATCCCTCTCTCGGGATCCTAGGGGAGCAAGAAATGTCAGCCTCCTTTCTCTCTGAGGTCACATCCCAGTCCATGCAAGTGGCAGTCATTAAGTACTGTAGAGTATTTGGGGCTTGGGAGGAGCACCAAGACCTAGTAGCTCACCTGTACCCTCAGACACATTCTCCTCTAGCAGAGAGGAAATTCTGAAAGTTACAGGTGAGACGCCCTGATTAGCAGTGCTTTCCATAGTATCAGATTGCTGTGCCGGGTGGGTATGGCACCCTCGACTAGGAAGGACGCTTTGCTTTTGGAACCCTCCTGGCCTTAATCTATGTGTCTTTCTTCTCTGGCTCATTCTGATTTATACTCTTTTGCTGTAATAAAACTGTAATCATAAGTTTTTATTTCTAAAGAGGGGTATTGAAATCATGGGGGATATAAGATGTCTTATGTGGTTAGGAATTACAGCCCTTGGGGCCAGCCCAACCTTATATCATTCCAGGTTAACTGGAAGCTCCTGAATCCTACCTGTGCCCAGAGTCACACTACCATTTGTTGTCGATCATAATGCATCCTTTGAGGTGCAGACAACCTCAGCAACTAGTCATTTGTTTGGAGTTTAGTTGTGGTCAACTTAGTGAGATTTGAAAGTATAAAAACAAATATAGTCTTGTATACCATAGTAATACTGGCTGCATATACTAAGGCATTCCCATAAGATTATAATGCCTAGTGACATGGGAGCATGTTACACTGTGTACGTAAACTCTGATGTTCACACAAAGATGAAATCATCTAATAATTCATCTCTTAGACTGTTTCTGTAATATATTATGCTGCAGTACATTCCCAAAATCTTTGTAAAGAATGAATGGACAGTGTCTACTAGAGTAAATGGTCTGCATTTCTACAGAAGGAAAGTAAATGATAGAAGAAAAGTCATGAACGGTGGAGACAATGAGCTGAAGCTGCCCTACCCTTGGTCTGGCTGGCCTCATTAGCCACAGAGATGTCAGTGCTCTGGAGATGTCCCTGCAGCCTCCTGACCTCCTCCATCACCACTGGCTTCCTCTTCTTGTCTTCTGTGCAGGGGAAGTGCAGGCCTTCTATGAGGATCTGAGTGGCCGGCAGTACGTGAATGAGGTCTTCAACTTCAGCGTGGACAAACTCTATGACCTGCTCTTCACCACCTCGCCCTTCCTGCGGGACTTCATGGAGCAGCGGCGCTTCTCTGGTCTGTTCTTCAGGACTGGACCCTTCCTGTCTGTCTACCCTCTCCCCTTTCTCCTTCCTCTTTCCCCCTCATCCCACACAGTCTCCTCTTCCAGAGCAGTTAGTGGTCCACATGCCTTCTCTTCAACCTTACCTGGTGTGGGAGCTCCTTCGGGGATGTCTGTCCCTCTTTTCCCCCAGTGTAGCATCTTTACTCATGGCCTCTGTCACCAGGCACCACAGACTGAGCAGTGACCAAGACTGCCTGGCCTCTGCTCTTGCGGGGCTCCCTGTCCAGTACAGGGCAGCAGGTCCCACTCATGACAAGGTGCCCCACGCATATGCCATCATCTCATTCAGTCCTCATAGCTGCCCGGGCACAGGTCCTGGGTTTCAGGAAGCTGATGTTTCAGGAAGCTGAAACCCTGGAACTGATCAAGGGGTTAAGAAGAGACTGAGCAAAGATGCATTTCTAGACCCTGAGGGCTCATTCATTGTTTGCCCATAGTCCTGGCTTCTTCCCACATCCCAGTTCCCCACCAGCAGGCACACAGCACTTGCCCAGCAGAACTGGGAAAACAACACGGGGGCAGCAGTGAACCCCATTGCTGGGAGAAGACAAGCTCAGGACACAGGGAGGTCGTGCCCTAGAGGAGAGGACTGGTTCCCAAGGGATCCAAGGCCCTTGCCACAGTAACTCCAGTGTTGCCAGCACCCCCGTAGGTGGCCTCAGGACCTTCTGCCCCAGCTGGGAACAATCAGCATTCTGGAGCCTCATGTAGAATTTTGGCAGTGCTACAATGAGCCTCTTTCTGCTCTGACTCCCTCTCCTCCCACCCTCCTCTCCTGGCCCCTGGGCTCCCATTGGCTTCCTGGGGTGGGGTGGGGGGTTGTTGGTAGACAGCACAGAAAGAGAAGTTCGTTGGAGGGGAGATCCAGATGCGGGGAATGGTGCTGCTTTTCCTCCCTCACTCCATCCCTCCTCTCTGTCCTCAGATATCATCTTCCATCCATGGAAGAAGGAAGAGAATGGAAACCAGAGCCGAGTGATTCTGTACACTATCACTCTTACCAATCCTTTGGCTCCTAAAACTGCCACTGTCAGGGAGACACAGGTAAGTACAAAGAGCTCAGAGGTGGCTCAGAGTGGGGTGGGAAGTTCTGTTCTGGTGTGAAAGACGAAGGCCGAGTGGTCCAAAGATGTCTCTGGGCGCAGCTATGTTGCTGTCTCCAGGGGTTCTGTGTCTTCCCTTCAGGAGTTGGGAGGTAGGGTGGGGAAATTCGAAAAGATGTTCTTCCTGTCTTGCTCCTCTTCAGTTTTGGTCAGTAGTATTTCCCTCCCCGCAGACCATGTACAAGGCGAGCCAGGAGAGTGAATGCTATGTAATAGATGCGGAAGTTCTCACCCATGACGTGCCCTACCACGACTACTTCTACACTGTCAATCGCTACACACTCACCCGCGTGGCCCGCAACAAGAGTCGACTCAGGTGCGGGGGCTTCGAGGGCCCGAGGGTTGAAGGGTTCAGGTGGGGTCTTTGTGTTAGATAATGTCCCTTTGTTCCTGAGGGAGAGGGAGCTTCGGAATTTTCCTGCTGACTCTTGATTTCTCTTCTCACAAAAGCCTTCTGAGCTCTTCACCTCCCTGTCTTGACAATTCACTTTTCTCTCTATGGTATGTTCCCATAACCATTCTGTGCACCTCTTAGTAAGACCTTTGTCATTCCCACTCTTTATTGTTGTCTGTGACTTATTCAATACTATCCAGGTGGGTTTTCTAGGTTCACTGGAATCTTTAGAATGACCCCAGCAGGTGGATTTATCATTAGTTTTCAGATAAATAACTGCAAAGAGTCACATCTCCAGTAAGTACTGAAACTGAGTTCTCAGAAGCAAAAGCCTCTGCTCTTTTCTCCATGCTGAGTATGTTGTGATTTCCTGTCTGTCTCCCTGTTAGGAGTCCCACCCCATCCAACTCTTTATCGGCAGCTCATGGCCTGAAACCTTTTCATGTCAGAGCCCAGAGAGTGTTGCAAGGATGAGTATTCAGTTCTAGACGCTGGTGCGCATTCACAGGAAGGAAGAAATGTAGACCCTGATGTTTTCAGAAGCATATGGTCTAACTGAGAACTCAAGACACACACCCACCTGAAAATCATCACATTGTATATCTGTACTATAGGCCAAGTTCTTCTGGTTGTAAGGAGCAAGAAATTCATTCATATAATTTAAATAACGTAGGAGTTAAGTGAAGAGTTACACAGAGATCTTCTAGGAGTCCAGAGGAGCTTAATACCCGAACCTAAAGAAGAGCTTTCCTTTCTCATCCTCTTAGTTTTTATTTGTTTGTTTTTCCTTGGGGTGAGTGCTCTGTGCTGCTCCCTGATCTTCATAAACTTCTCTTCCTTCTTCCTTCTTGTATTCCCTCTTTTCTCCCACATCCCTCATTTGCACCCTATCCCCATCGGTGCCTATGTTTCTTAACGCCGTACTCCTCAGAGGAGCTTCCCATCGCGGGTCTCTCTGTGTGGTTCACACAAGCTAGCTAGTGGACCTTGGCTAGAACTTCACAGGGATGATCCCAATGCGCACCCACTGAACAGGTGTTGGGTATGAAGCCAGCTGGCTCGGAGTGTGGGTATTCCCCCTTCAGGCCTGGGTAGGGATAGCCTCCCTGAGGAGGGGCCAGGGAGCATGAGCTGGGAGCATCTCTTGGCACACACGTACTCTGAGGAGGAAGCAAAGAGCAAGGCTGCTGCACAGGGAGGTAGGAGCCCACATTGCAAAAGATATGGACAGTGGCAGGACTAGTGATGAGAAAACGTGTGGAGGGAAGCAGGAGCTGTCGAGCTTGTGGGTTCAGTAGAAACGTAGAAGCCAGGGCTGGGAGCAGAGGATATTCTTAAAAGTGAGAGTGATGAGACCCCAGAGCTTGACTAGGACTTAAAGGGCTACACCTCAGGTCTGTGCCTTCTTTTGTCCAGGTGGCAGGCAGCCTGGCAGCATTGAGAACCCCCTGGTTAGGGGCAGTGTGGGATCATGAAAGAATTCTGGGCTTGGATTCAGAAGCCCTTATTAGCCTATGGCCTGCCCAAATATTCAGAACCTCTGTCTTTTCAACTCTAAAATGAGAATAAAGCTACTACCTCCTCTGCTCAGGGAGGGAAGATGATATGACGGGTGAAAGGAGTTTTTTTTGTTTTTTTTGTTTTTTTTTTTTAAAGAATAAAAGAAGGATAACATAATAATAGGGGGGACTTAGCAAATTACAGACAAAATGGTAGGAAATTATCAATGGTTATCATTTTACATATTATTGTCTACAAAATAGTTTCTCAGGAAAACAAATAGACA